AATAAATTCCACCTACCAGAATGTGAATAAAAATAAAAAACCCAGAAATGATGATGCTAGGATAAAAGGACGGGTGGTATACACTGAATCCACTTGAATACAGAAGTGAGACTAAACAACTAAAGGAAATATGGTTGCTAAAAGCTGTAAATATTATAAACCCTGACAAAATAGAACTAATATAAACCACAAAAATTGGAAATTGGAGTATGGAGGGTAGGAGGAAGTATAATAATGTTAATTATCTCATTTTGTATAATAAGTAGTCAATTGACATTATTAATCAAGAAATATGGGCTGTTCTGATTTTCTATTGTTCATATATTTCTTTGCCTATATTCTTTGGGCTATATCTCATATATTTGCTGCTTTTTCCCTTTATGTCTTTTCTTAACCAATGTGCATTGAATATTAATCTACATAAACTGCATACTTAATAAATGCTATTGAAGTAATTTTGCCAATTGCATGGGACTGCAAATTCTATGAGGATTGAAAATATGTTTTATTCATCTTTGAATTCTCTCAGCACCTGGCATAGGGACTCGCACATAGTAGACTGTCAATAATTTTTTTTACTAAATGAATTAATTTGCTTTGTTTCATATACATTTTGTTCCTAGGACAATGGCTGAAGACTAGCTGGAAATATAGGGAAAATGAACCATAATTGGAGAATATAATAACGCCTGTCAACGACATCTGGGAGACCTATTATAAATGCTTCTGATGCCTCATTAAAGACACTCTATTGTTTTCAGAATGCATTTTTACTCCAGTAAATAATCTCATCTTGGTCTAATTTAATCATTCACACTGGTATCAAAATGATATTTCCAAACATAGATCCATCCTATCACTCCTCTGCTTTAAAATGTCTTATGCCCACCCCCCAATGTCTATACAACAGAGCCCATACTCCTAAGCATGGCACTGAAGGTCCTATATGATCAGTTCATCTCTTCTGCCAATGTATCCCATGTGCTATCCATACAGGAATACTTGCAATTTCTGGTACATGCTATATACATTTATGCTTCTGTGTTTTTGCTCATGCTATTCCCTCTACTTAAAAATGTCACTCCTCATCTCAATCCTTCTCCTGCTGTCTGCACCCATCATGACACTACTCTATTCCTTAGGGCCCAACTCCAATGCTTTCCCTGTAAGGCTTTGCTGTCTCCCATGCTTAAATAATTATGTCATTTGTTCTTCTATAGCACTTTGCTCATGCTCCATGTGTTGTATTATAGCTAGTTGTACACACCTCTAACACCCTCTCCTAGATTGTGAACTTCTTGGTTTGTACATTTCCTTTTCCAATATTCTTTGGGCTATGTCTTATGTATTCTAGAAAGCTGTCACAGAGGATGTGCCTAACACATAGTAAATGCTCAATAAATGTTTGTAGTTTGGAATAAAAAAGGCACATGCACTTCTCATATTTCCATACTAAAAAAATACTTCTAAGTATAATGAGGGCTAAACTGAAAACCCTAAGGGCTGGTAGAAGGCAAACTGTCTCTTCAACTGTAGGTGGTTTTCTGTCCTGATACAAGAGAAGACAAACATTTCTTCAGAGGTAGATTGCTCTGGGAAAACTACCTGAATTGTTTAACCACTCATATTGAAGTAAGTATACATTTATTATTCTTGGAAAACTACAAAAAAATCATTAACCTGAATGTAGCTGCTTTAGACTGAGAGGCAGAGTGCTCTATTTGGATATGCAAATCTTTGTGCCGAGCAGGAGCCCTGCTTTTGCAGGCATCGATGCGGAAGAGAACAGACTGTTTCTCCTCTGTAGAGTTAGACCATATGTGTATCAATATATTGTTTCTGTGGAGATGTGAATGTCCTTGTTTGAGTCCTTGCTCTTAGGAGAATAGAAGCTGTAATTTAAAAAAATACAGGAAAGCAAGGATAGGCATGTTTATGGGAGAAGTAATTATGCAAAGGGACTGGACTGGCTTTGATGAGGCTCTACCTGGATCTGTACGTAAAGACTGCATAACTCAATCTTTGTGAGAAATATGCTGATGTCCTACGGGGTAGCCCAGTTGGGTCAGAGGTCAAGATCATACCCCTGGGGATGGAGGGTGGGGTTTCCTCTAAAGGAGTAGATATTCCCATGGTCAGCCCTTCCTAAAGAGAGGCAGCATCTGGGACAGAAAATGGGACATTGAAAGTGGACCTTAAACTGGGTGAGGAGAGTTGTTTTCTTCTCAGCTTCACAATATTTGGGCCTGGATGCCCAAGACATGGTCAGGGGAACTCTTGATGGAGAGAACTATCTTCAGCCATCTAACCCAGACTGGAAGTCGACGGTAAGGCAGGCCTGTGTCTAGTCCATAAGGGCTTTGAGAATTGCCATATCCTACCTGCAGGTTACTCTGGATTATTCTTCCCTTCTACTATTGTTATATAAAACAGTGGTCTTAGCTGTGCTGTGAGGAAACTTTGAGGGGAAGGGCCTTTGTTTCTGATGTCCTGGTGAAGAGATGGCAGAGCCCCTTCCTGCCAAATCCCAAGGCAATGATGAAGATTGCACTGGCTGGAGAGAGCTCAGTGTCCCAAAATATCACGGTATGGGACATCTGAAGTGGAGGCAGGAGTAGTTCAGTTATTTCAGGAATATGTGGGTGACAGTACCTTCCCTGGGGACTCCATCATAGTAGAGATCAGAGGGAAAGTTTAAAGAGGGCTGACATCTTGATAAATTGGAAGGTGGGGGCTCAGGGCCATTGTAGTTGGGGATTTTATTTTAAATATGGCCTCTTTTATACTAAAAAACTCATGAAAGCTATGACAGTGTGATTCTCAAGGGCACATGAGGGCTTTTATTGAACAAGCTCTTTCTATCCTGGGTCTCCTGATCCATAGACTTGAGAGAAACAAAGGTAGACAAAGTATTCCCCAGTTTGATTTTATATGAGCCTTTTCTTTTTATTTCCCTGTAGACTTCTGCTCTCGAGCCTTATAGAAGCATACATCTAACCAAAAACTGATTGATTCTTGTTGTTCTTCCATTATTTGTCCATCCTCTGTTTTCTTCACAAAATGTTCTGTATCAGAGAGTAAGGGAGAGTTGGAAGCTTTTTATGGATGTGGGTAAGCATAGATGAATATCTAACTGGTCTTTCAAGGAGGTGAGCATCTAAAACATAATTTTCTTAGGGCTGAGTATTGGTATATAGAAGCCACAATCTCATCCCTGTTGATTTCATCTATGGTCATACTTTGAAAAATAGACTGCATTCGGTTCCTTAGAGCTTTTCTGGATTCATGGTGCATTGCCTTTTTATTCTAACAGCCGCTTGTTTACGAAACCTGTTAAAGACACCCCCCATACCATCACACTTCAGTCCTTCCTCTAGCTTCTGGGGTACTTTTTTTCTTGCTCTTGTAGATTCTGAAACGAATAGCAACTTTTCTTTCAACAAAAGTTCTGCCTGTCTGAAATCTTTTATTATCTTTTCTCAACTACAAAACAAAGTTGAGCATTATAGAGTATCACTTCGACATATTAATAATTTCACTTGTCTCCAAGACCTTCCTGAAATTAATTATAAATCCTATTTACATCACTTAACAAACCTTTATTGAATATCTATTATTAATATGTTGCAGCCAACAGGCTACCGGCTGGAGCTACAGGGTAGCTCAGCTCACACCTGGTTTTGTGGCTAGAATACTTGACTCTCTGGCTCTAGTTTCTTAACTAACTCCTCCACGATTGCATTAAAAAGGGGAACCTCCTCTTATAGCTATTGAATGCCATAGGGAGAATACAGCTAATAAGGAGAGCAATCCAGGTTACTGAGGCGATAACTGAAAGAGGGGGTTGGTTCTAAGCAGATAAATTGGGAGGAATACTGAAATCCAAAGACACTAGGAAAGAAGCATACTTTAAAGTTCGGATGTTCTTCTAGGTTAATATAGGTTTTCATTTTTACGTGCGTAAAAAACAAGTACAGAGTAAATTATGAAAATAATAGGGAATTATGCATATTGCATTTTTTCAACTAATGTATTTATTACAGCATTAATATTCTGTGTTAAGATTCTCTTATAATATTTCCTTCCATCAAAAAATTTTGAGGGAAAATATTGTGTCTTCATGTAGTGAAATTCTCGTAAAGAACATGAGGTTTTTAGACATGGGGCCACAAAGGGCAGGAGACAATTTTTTTCTTTGTGTTTTGTTGATGAAGTCTGAAGACATAATTCTAGTTCTAAAAGTGCAAAGAGATGATCCATAGCTTCCTCTGCTCCGTACCTGCTGACGGAGCATGCCTCAGTCTCTTCCTTTTGTCTTCTGAAAATAAAAGGAAGGAGGCAAAGGGTGTTGGAGTGGAGGATTTTCTAGGGGTTAAACTCGGGTGCTTAAGAACCTCTGAGAATCCTGCAGCTTTTACTTAAGTAGCTCTTGTAAAACAGATGTTCTCCAAAATAAGAGGGCTAGAGCAGAGAGGCCGGTCGGGCCGACCTGGGGTAGAGCGCAGGTGGGGGCAGCCGCCTAGCCCAGAGCGGAGGAAGCCTGCATTCTGCAGGTGCAGCGATTGTGATCTCGCACCGCCCCGGCTCCTGAAAGGGCGGGAACCGCGGCGTTGCAGAGTCTAGGATTTAGTCCCTGAACCAGAGTCCAAATATATTCCAAACAGCAGACGCCGATCCAGCCGAGTGCTTACACCTGGCTCCGGGGACGGAAAATAGCATTTGTAGGAACCGCAGGGAGTCGAAGAGCCCCTCGTTTGGGACGCCAGAGGGCTGGTCCGACTTCGCTAGGTCTGATTGCTTTCCCGTGATTGCTTTCCCAACTTGTCGGTCATCCCAATGCCCTATTTCGATTGGCTGTGCTGTCTGCCACTCGGTTCCGCCGCGCTGACCCCCATTGGGCCCCCTCCGGCCGAGGCCCCGCCCCACGAGCTGGGCACCAGCATTGGGGCACTGAAGAGAGAGAGCGCGGCGCTTGCTCTGGGCTGGGGGAGGCGGTGGCGGGGAAGGAGGAGGAGAAGGAGGAGCGGGGCCAGCAGGAGTCAGCGGCGGCGACCGGGCTGGGGTGATGGTGCAGGTGCCCGGGGTCTGCGCGGAGCTGCCGGGTTGAGGGGCGCCTGGTCCAGGGTCCGCAGCGCCGCCGCGTCTCCCGGGGGCGGGCGGGCGGGAAGATGCTGAGCAGGTTGATGAGCGGCAGCAGCAGGAGCCTGGAGCGCGAGTACAGCTGCACTGTGCGGCTGCTGGACGACAGCGAGTACACCTGCACCATCCAGGTCAGTGCCGCGCCAACCCGCCCGCGGAACCCCCTTGTCCTCCTAGTCTGGCCAACTTGGTCCGCGGCGGCCGCCGGGGTGTCGCCCCAGACCCCAGCGCTTTGTCCGCCCCTGGCTGCGGAGAACGGCCCCGGTGCAGGGCGCCTCCACCAGAGACCCTGTCCGGGGCCGGGTACAGGGCGCTCGGCGCCGCTGCGGGGCGAGTGCCTGCGTCCCGGACCCCCAACTCGTTCCCTGCTCTTTCCGGGGTGAGGGCGCTCCATCCTGGCTCCTGGAGTCCGCCCGGGTGTTTAGTACCTTCGGCGAGCGTCGGGAGGGAGGTGGGCAGGGCTGGAAGCTCCTTCCCCGGCCGCCTCGTCGAGGGGCGCAGGCTTTGGCTACCCTGCCGGGCAAGGTCGGCTAGCAGCAGGCTTTTCTTATCTCTTTGGTTGGGATGATAATGGTGTATGTCATAGTCCCCCGCACCCCCCTAGCATTTGTGAGTCAGAGCTCTCCGAAGGTAGAAGTGAACGCGCAGCCCATGGAGAGTGGCCTATTGAAGGGAGCCCAGCCAGCCCTCTGGGCTTTAAAAATGTAGGCCCCCCCCCCATCTCCCGCCGTTCGCTCCCCAAATCTTATTCTGTTGGGCAATTCTAGGGAGGGGAGGGGGGCGTGAGGTGAAGATTTAGCAACAAGTCCCAGCGATTTGAGGGTTGACAGTGGCGAGAAACAATCTGTGACTTAAAAAAAAACAAAAACACGCCAACAATACGATAATGCTATACAGCATTTCTACAGAACCTGGTATTTTTGAAGGGATTTTTACAACCTCTGGCTTCTGTTCCTTCACTACTGCTGTGTGGCACGCCAGTAGTAGTCTTTCCCAGGAATGCAGTCACAACCCTCTTTCTTCCTTTTATAAAGTCAGAGATAGAAAACACTGATAATGCTCCGGTGTTGAGTTCGGCAGCGGAGAGGATCCTGCGCTCACAGCCAGAAACGGCTTTTTCTGGAGAAGCAAATTGAGTTGGACCCGGAGGGGTCTCACCTGATCCTCATTAGCAGCAAGAAACCAGAGAGGGCTTCTTGCCTCAGATGTGGCAGACAAAAACTGGCGGCCCGGGTCCTACCCTCTTTGTCTCCCTGCTTCCCCCCAACCCCCCTATTTGTTTTTTTGCTGACAATGCTCAATAGCGGAAAATAGCGGTGTGTGAGAAAGACGCTAGGCAGTGTATGGGAGCAGCTGCTCTCTGCTGACTCCGTGCTCAGTTCAGTCTTCTCTCGACTTTCCCTTTTCTACCATCCCCCCTCCCCCCACCCAAACCAGCTCTGGACATAAGTCCAGACTGCTGACTGCTGCCAAAGATCCATGAGGGTAGAGAAAGAGAACAAAAATCTCTTTTTTAAGGCTACTTAAATACAGATTAAGCGGTCATAAAGATGCTAGCCATCAAGTGAAAGGATTTTTGTAGTTGACTATGATAGAGATGTTATGTATTATTTCCTTACTGAATAAGCGGCATACTACTTTTTGTTTCTATTGTATCTTTATGTGTCATGTACACTTGTTTGTTTTTTAGTGGGGGAGGAGAAAACATTGAGTTGACATTTTCATCATTCGACTACATTGTCTAGAGCTTTTAAAGTATCCCTATGTTTTAAATTTTAAAGCATTTACATAATATCATATCAAGGGCAGTGTGAGATTTAGACTTCATGAGACCTGAAAATACTTTTGGAGTATACATATGGTGAAATAAAATTTCCAGGGTGGGTCGTTAACTTTTGCCAAGATGTAGAGTACAGATGAAACAATTCACATCGCCACTCCACCAGTGATAACCTTGTGGTTTTAAGGTATCACAATAAGGCAACTAGCTATTTTGCCCACTTAGTGGAACTGTTAAGGCTGGTTGATTGGTGCTTTAGTTAGGGATAGTTTTTATTATTACCATTACAAAATATTTTTAAGTTAAGCAGGACTTACTGGATTTATGCTGCTATATTATACTGTGGTTGTGTTTTTTTCCCCCTGATGGTCTTTTTTTTTTTTTACATTATTACAATTCAATGTTATAAGAATTTAGAAAAATTAAAAATCAAATTAAAAAATTTAGCTTGGTGTAACATGACCATACTATATAGTAAGTGTCCACTGTCTAGACATATTAATGATTGTGCATTGATTCTTGCATGAAATCTAAACACAAGAATTCAAAAGTATATGGAATATTGTCATTTGCAGGTACCACTATTGTGAATTACTTTTGTTTTTACCCATGTGAGGAAATGTAAGAAAAGACAGTATCTTATGTGAAAATATTTTGTGCATATAGCTTGTGTGAGCATTGGAGATTGAGCTTCTCTTACCAACTTTTCTCCTTGTACATTTCTCTGTGTGTGTGTGTGTGTGTGTGTGTGTATGTGTGCGCGCGCATGTGCACACACGCTTATTTGTCAGATACGGGGCACGGGGTCTTTAAATCAGTATTGAAAGAAACTGTAAGCTACTCATTAGGTTAAAAGCGATATTTCCAATATCTTAGGAATTGCGGTACTGTATATTTTTAAAAAATTTTGGTGATAATTTGAACTCTTTTTATTGTATGCCATATTTTTGTTTAAATAAGGTATCTATTTGAGAAAGATTTCAGTGCTTCATGAGATAATTAGAGACCACTTGTCTTAGGGTATTACAGAATCAGAAATGTATCACTAGGTTAGAGTCCTAATAGCCACATTTGGTAAATTTCAGTTGTAGGAAATTCTGTCAAAGAATTGGTCTTTCATATTGCATCAGTTATACTGATCTGGCATTTAGGATGTGATTATTAAGGTGATGAAAATGCCTTATGTCCTCTCAGTGAAGGTTGCCACAGTTACCAGACTATTCTTTTATTCTTTCTGATATGCAAATTTATTGGTAGACCATGAGAAATGAAAGTACACATACATGGGAGGGTTGTAGTATAATTGCTCCCCTGTGAAGAACATTGTTAACAGCTCCCTGCCAGTTTTGAAGGTCATTGTCTGATAAATGCAGATCTGGTCCATATTTTTCACACATCTGTTTCATTTATGCATATCTATATTTACTTACCACATTTATTACCTTTGTTATTTTATTTGGGAGAAAAGGCTACTGAATATCTTTGAATTCAGTATATCAAATGGAGTCATTTAAATACCTAGGCATGTGATATCCTAAGGAATAGATTTTTAACTATCTTTTGAGTTATAATTTATAAAATATTAAGAATATATATTTCAGGAATGCTGGTAGAAATATGTATTGAAAAATACATGTTTTCAATCAGAAATATTAATCACTTTTGTGATCATTGAAAAGTAGAAATGAATTTGATTTTACTGGGAACATATTAAAATAACAACTGATTAAACAGCTAGGTTAAATTAGTTTTTGCAGTTAAATAAGGTACTATCATAACTAAAATGTGTATGCAAGGGGAGCAGTTCTATAGTGGAACCAAGATTTGAATTTGATTGTGGCTCAGTCACTTAGTAACTGTGGGACCTAGGGTAAAGGAGGGAATATTAGGGGAGAGAACTTGTATTCAGCCCTGTACTTGCTGGCACTCTACCTGTGTTACATTACCTCATTTACCTCAGAACAGCTTTTACCCATTGTACCATGGGATTGTGGATTGGTGGGAGAGACGATGTTCGTTGAATGGCTTACTAAGTACTAGGCTAGTTCTGCCAGGTGCTTTGCCTATGCCTTACATCAACTATTTGAGAGTTAGATGGTATTATCCTCATTTTACAAATGAAAGGTCCCCATGAAAGGACTTGCTCAAAGCTAGCAGGTGAGCTGTGTTATACTTAAACCCTGATTCTTTTGTCTCTAAGTTCCACCTTTGTTCCCTCTAGCCATCCTGACTCCCTAAGTCACTTCACCTGTCTGTGCCTTAATTTCCTCATCTATAAAATGGGAATATTAATACTTATTTCACAGTAAAGAGAAAATTATTTGGAAATATTACAAATAACAAGGAACATGTAAACAGACTAATATACTTACATAGTGCCTTATTCTATGCAAATAAAAATGGAATTGAGAAATGTTTTACTTCATCTGTAAGTTCCTTTAAAATTATTTCTGATAAATCTCAGTGAAATTGTAAAATCCAAGGCTGGGATGACTGGATTCTTCATTGGAATCCAGTTCTTTAAGTTTCAGCAGTTCAGGCTTGCTTTCCTTCTATCCTACCAAGTCTTTGCTTTAGGGGGGCATTTATTGCCTGGACTGTGATTTGTCTTTTCTAAGAACTTCTTCATATTTGCTAAGTGGAATCCTTGGTTTTATTAATGCAAAAGGGATGTTGTTAGAGAATTAGAATAATTTTATTTACAGAGAAAAACATAAAGCTGTTGTATTTCCATGAATATTGTGTGTGTGTGTTTTTTTTAAAAAAACTATTTTAAAAAGTAATTATGCTGTCTCAGGATCTGTTACAATAACAAGTCAATTAGGCTAATTCTTGAAACTAAGATAGTTCCAAAATTAGCCTAGAATCCTAACAGCATTTGTATTGTGTCTTAATTTGTATATTAAAACATTTATTATATAAAATGAATGCAAATCAGCCTTTTTAGTACAGAAGGTAAATTCTAGATGTGTATTTTTGTTCTCATTCTTTTCCTGTTTGAAAAAGTCCTGCTTAAGGACGTGTTAGCGGCATCCAAGAGACACCTATAAGCATGCACCACAAGCAGATTTTACTCAAGGGTATTTGTATGAATTTGCATTCTATTAAATGCTTGGAATGAATATGCTAGATGAGGCAATTCAACATAGTGTAAAATAAAAGAGCACTTGGTTTTTGAGTCTTCTGTTTGTTACATTGTCCAGAGACTTGTTTATGATGTCTGCTATCATTACTATCACACTTAAAAAAAAAAAAAGATGTTTGCTAAAATAAAATCAGACAACTTAAAGAAGTAGTCATTTTTGTTACATGTTTGTAGTGGTGTATGTATAGGTATAAAATGTGTAAACC